ATCCATTCTTCTGTTGATGGGCAGCTAGGTGGTTTCCATGTCTTTGCTGTTGTAAATAGTGCTGCGATGAACATGGGTGTGCGTATACCTGTTCCTGTAAGCCAGGACTTTCTAGAACAGCAGGCTCACCCAGGACTTGTTAGAAATGCAGATGCCTGAGCCCCTGAATCAGAGGCCCGGGGAGGGCCTGTGCTCTGGGTCTGAGAATGCCCACCAGCTACTCTGAAAAAGCTCTAGTGTAAGCGCCACTGCCTTGGGGACAAGGGGGTGGGGTGGGGGCACAGCTAGCAGCCGCACCCCTCACCGCCTGAGCTCTCTCACGGGGCTCTCACCTGCAGGCCTTACCTGTGGGGCTCCCAGAAGGACACTGGGGGCCGGTGTAGGCCAGCCGCAGCTCCTGGGGGCACATCAGGGACACCGGGGGCGATGTAGGCCAGCCCCAGAGCTGTGATGATTGCCAGCTGCAGTGGGCACGTCGGGGACACCAGGGGCGATGTAGGCCAACCCCAGAGCTGTGATGATCACCAGCTGCAGTGGGCACATCGGGGACACCGGGGACGAGCCGAGCCTCCCTGCTGAGTGCTGCCGGTCGGGGTCTCACTCGTCTCTCTCCCCGTCTCTCTCATGCCCCTCGATGCCCAGCGGACAGAAAGGGAAAGGTGGCAGCCGAGATGCCCGACTCCCCAGCGGAAGTGAAGACGCAGCCCCAGTCCACACCACCCAGCATGCCACCACCGCCACCCGCCGCGGCTCAGGGAGCCTCGAGACATCCCTCCTTCACGCCCCACACACGTAAGTGACCTGAGGCCAGGCCGTGGGTGACCGGAGGAAGGGCAGGCAGGGCAAAGAGGGGCCTCCAGGGAGCCCCCAGCTCTGAGGCATCAAGCCCCAATGGGATTCCAGTCAGTGTGAGACCCCTGTCCTAAACAGGTGATGCCCCTGGTGGGCACTGGAGAGGGCTAGGCCTCGTGGCCAAGGGCCAAGCCGTGTAGGTGTGAATCCCACCTCTTGAGGTTCTAATTGTGTGGCCTTAACTGCTCTGTGCCTGGGGCTCCTCACCTCTGAAGTCCTGCCTTACAGGCCATTGTGAGGCCACAGAGTTAGCACAGTTCTGAAGCTCCCCCCTGCGGAGGAGCAGGCCCAATCCAGAGGTCAATCAGAGCTCAGACAGGGTCGGACTGGCCCTAAGGTCACACAGCAGTTTATAAGTACAGGTGCTTTCCATCAGACCCTGCGCCCTGCTGGTTGTGGAGAAATCACGATGGGGACTAGTGCCGGGGCGAAGTCTGCCGAGTACAGGCTACTATGACCCCGCAGTGGGGAGATGCTGCTCCCTGGGGCTCTGTCAGGACTGAGGCATGCCCGCTCAGTGCTTGGGTGGCATGGTGGGCTGGAGGCAGAGCTGTGTGGGCAGCTGGGCCTGGCAGCCGTCACTGAGCCCCGACCTCCGGGGCTGCCTCGGAGTACAGCAGCTTGGACAGACTCAGTGACCCATGGAGGCTCTGGTCAGACCCACTGGGGGGAAGCCCTGCCAGATGAGCTTCCTGAAGGCTCTGGGAGTGAGACCCTCGGGTTCTCCCCACAAGTCAGAGAAGCTGGTGGGGCTGTTTTCCGATGAGTCCTGAGGCAGCAGGAAGAGGGAGACCCCCCCAGGTGTGGGCCAGTGTGAGGGGCAGTCTTATCCATGGTAATGGGGAGAATCCACACGCCCCCACCCCATGTTCAGGGGCCAAGAAGCCCCATACCTAGGGGCACCCCACAAAGCCCCTCTCTGGGAGAGAGTCTCAAACTCATCAGCCTGGTGGCCTTTGGTCTCCACTGAGCTGCCTCCCTTCTGCCCCCCCCCCGGGCCCAGTGGGACAGACAGACTGACAGAGCATGCCATGGGCCCAGCCCTCATGGCGTCTCCCAGTCCGGTTGTTGCCGTGGAGTCCTGGTTCCCGGAAGTGCAGATTTGGGAGCCAGGTGTTGCTGACTGGGGACGACCTGGGATCAGCTGGGTCTTCGGGACTTTGCTTTGCCTCGGGCCCACGAACAGCTGTGAGGGTGCTGTTGGGGGGGGGGGCGTTTCTGTAGTCAGGGCCCCAGCTTTCTGAAAGAGCAGGGAGGTGATGGAAGAGTTGAAGGGCCCGTCTCGTTTTGACTAAGGGTGCCCCTGTGTGTCCCTAAACCACATAATCCCCTGGAAAATGGCGGTTAACCGCGTCTGCACACCTGGCCCGTGGCAGGCCGGTGGAGGGCTCCCCTTGCTCGGCCGAGCAGTCCTGGCAAGCCCTTCAAGCCACCAGGGAGGGACCGGCCTCCCAGCCAAGCGGACGAGAGACTGACCATGAACCCAGCTCAGGGTGCACTTTCTCTTGCCTGCTGACCGTCCTGACCCTTCAGCAAGAATTCATTTTGGACTTGAAGCCACAGTGTGGCTACTGATGTGGGAGGAGGATTGAAGGAAGCAAAAACTCTGGGAAAGAAAATACCCCTGTGCTGAGAGGCTGCAGTCGACTGTCTGCTTGTAGGGTCTGCTCATTCCAGCTCAGACCAGTCAGCCCTCCGGTCCGATGTGTCCTCTCTCCCAAGCTGCTCAGTGTTGGGCTTTGGTTTGCAACCACGGTCGGCTTGTCTGTTGACGGAAACGTCAAGCCCTGAATCTCAAGAGAGTTTCAAAACCCACAGCTTGGGCCCCAGGTCCTTGAGGATGGTGCCGAGTGCGGCCACCGGGGCCTCCTGGGAAGAGCTTTCCTAAGAACACGTCCCACCCACACTGCTGGAGCCACCCAGATTCCCATAGACAACACTGGCCGGTCGGGGTGACAGAGCCCATTCCTGGAAATGCTGTTGACAGGCAGAGGGGAGGCCGGCTGAGGCGCCCCCGCCTGCCCTGCCGGCCCCCCCGCCTGACAGCCTGTTTTTCTTATTTTGCTTACAGATGGAGAAGACGGGCCTGTGACGTTTCTGCCCCACGGCCGCTATCATGGCTGCTTAAAATGGTCTATGGTCTGTCTCTGTAAGTAAAGTAACAAAAACATGGCCTGGCGGGCTCTTCTCCATGACCCCTGCAGAGGCTGCCATGAACCCCCACTGCCTCCACTCTCCCCCATCACCACCCAGCCATGTTAGTCTTGTCCCCTTCACATCTAGAGAGAATGTCTGAGAGGGGCCCTGGGTCCCGACTCCATACTCGAGCCCTGCTGTTCCATGCTGTGTACCCTTGGACTGGTTGCTCAGCCTCTCTGGGCTTCTCTCCAACTGCAAAACGGGGCCACAGCTGCTCATAGAGTTGTCAGTGGTGTTCTGCAGCTCAGGTGGTCATTTGGAGGACAGACCCAGCCGGGACTCGGACACTTGGGCACGGTACTACCACCATGCCTCAGTTTCCCCACTGGTAAATGGACATAATCGTGCCACCCAGTGCTGTGGGTGACTATAAGGAATAGTGTGGTCAGCAGGCTGGCACGGCCCAGCCAGGCCCATCAGAGCTCTTGCACAGCTGGGGGAACGTCTGAGTGTTTGTCAGGTGTGGTCCCAGGGACTTAGGTCAGTACGAACAGGGACTGACAAAGCTGCCGGTTGGCTGCGTGGTCCAGGGAGCGAGGGGGTTGTGACCTGGCTCCCAGGTCAAGGAGAGGACGTCAGAGCAGAGTGCGTGTAATGTGTGCATGCTAGAGCTCACTGCCACCAAAGACAAGGACAAAGTGTCACCAAGGACAGGACGACAGAGTGTCACCAAGGACAGGACAACAGAGTGTCACCAAGGACTGGATGACAGAGTGTCACCAAGGACAGGATGACACTGTCACCAAGGACAGGATGACAGAGTGTGGGTGACATGTGGGTGCTAGAGCCCACTGTTGCTGTCACAGTCACAATCCTGAGGGTGCTTGACCTTGCCCAGGGCCAGCTACGCATCCACCAAACGGGCCTTGTGGTTTTCACTGGTGGTGATGGGGCTTTCCCGGCCGCAGGGTGAGGTCTTATACAAGGGGGTGGCAGGAGGGCTGTACCTGGGGTCCTCGTCCCAGTCCGACCCTGCCTCTGGCCCCAGTGCTGGGGGCGGCCTGAGGATGCTAGCGTGTGCCCCAAACCTCAGCCGCGGACACGTGTGCGGTTTAACTTAGTAACACACCTGTCGCAAGGCAAAAGCACTTGTGGCCGGAGGTTATTTTCGGCATCTCTTTAGCAAGTTGCTGATACTGCCCGGCGGCTGGTGGGAGGGAGCGGGCCGGCAATCAGGCCCTGCGGGACCCGGCACGGAGGCTGCGGCCGGTAAGGGTGGCAGGGAGGCAGCCCAGGCTGCGGCAGGAGCTGGAGGGGCATGGGCTGGTGAGGGCATCGCTAGGTGGCACAGAATGTCGGGGACCCTCGTGGAGCTCTGGGCCCCAGTGACCGTGAGCTGGTCGTGAGGAGTGAGCCCCGCTGTGTGAGTTCTCTGTGGTGACAGGCCATCTCCCGGCCTGGCAGGTGCCCCGGGTGGCTGTCATCAGGCTGCCTGGGCGTGTATGAGCATTCACCATGGGGTCCACAAGAGCTAGTCAGTGAGAGAAGAATCGGTGCGTGGCCGGAGGTAGGGGGTCTGGTCGAGGGTCCCCTGGAACAAGCCTCAGGACAGGTGAGGACAGAGGGAGTCTTGGTCCTGTCTCTGGCCCCAGAGCGAGGTGCCCCTTACTCACTGCTGTGGGAGCTGCTGTGTCCGTCCTGAGCCCCAGAAGGTACCTTGAAGATCATTTAAACGGGTGCAAATGGGTTTCGATTTGCATGAGCCGTTGCAGCCGAGGGGGTACCTTCTCCAATGACTCCGGGCCTTGGTGGCAGAGCACTAGGTTCTGCAGCCGGCCTGCTTAGGGGGACACATGCACATATGTGTGCTTTTCCAAGCCAACCCTGACCTCAGGTCCACAGCTTCTGAACATCAACTAAGCAGGAAGTCCTTTACTGACAAAAAAGGTTGCATGGTGCCCCACACACAGAGCAGATGGGCTTCCTGGCTGGAGGGGGATTAGAGGAGAACCCAGGTTCCACAGGCCGGAGCGTGGAGCAGACCAACACACCTCTGGCCCCTAAGTGCCACTTTGGAGTTCCAGGGCTGGGCTGAGGTCCATTGTGGACGAGGACACTGAGGCCAAGCCCCAGTCCCGGGCCAACGGCACCTCTGGGGTACTCCAGGTCACTGTGGGGGCTCACAGCACCTCCAGGCCACTCGCCTTCCTAACCAAGCTGCGTCCCTGGCACCACGTCCACGGGGGCAGGGCCGTGTCTGCCCCATGTCCTCGTCAGAGCCTAGTGGCTGCAGGACCCCAGCTGTACGTGGCCTTGAGGCCTCCTCACAGCCCTGCAGCGGGAACAGCGGGCTCAGGCAGCTCTGTGGGCACACGGAGACCCCGTACCATTCAAAGCAAACTCCGATGGGTCCGTCCACAGAGCTGAGCCTGACAGCCACTTACCTTGCTGTCTTTGCGGTCACCGTTGTAGTTGTTGCCCCAGTTGTCATCACTGTTTGGGTGGCTGTCATTGTCCTGGTCATCATCCCTGTGGTCATCACTGTTGGCCCTCACGCCCACTCTTTGCCCACAGTGATGAGCAGCAGCAGCCACTCACCGACAGCCATCAATGGTGCCCCTTCCACACCCAGCGGCTTCAGCAATGGCCCGGCCACCTCGTCCACGGCCTCGCTGTCCACGCAGCACCTGCCCCCCGCCTGTGGCGCACGGCAGCTCTGCAAGCTTAAACGATTCCTCACCACCCTGCAGCAGTTCGGCCGCGACATCGCCCCGGAGATCGGGGAGCGGGTGCGCACCCTGGTGCTGGGACTCGTGGTGAGTCGGGGGCCTGGGGAATGGGGTGTGGGGGTACGCCCTGGTGCTGGAGCTTGCAGTGAGTCAGGGGGATTTGGGGAGGCCACACATCACACACATTAGCTTTGTGCCCTTCTGGGGCCATGCCTCACAGTATGGGAGCTGAGGACGGACACTGGGCTCAGGCCCTGACACAGCTTTCCTTATCTTCAGAACTCCACGCTGACCATTGAGGAGTTTCACTCCAAGCTCCAGGAGGCCACCAACTTCCCTCTGCGGCCATTCGTCATCCCCTTCCTGAAGGTAAGGCAGCACCCCGCCACCAGCAGGGCCCCTCTGGGGAGGACGTCATCCTCCCCTTGCCAGGACCGCCAAGGCCCAGGACCCTCAGGGACAGTGCTGAGCAGTCAGGATGGGCTCCCACTAGTTCAAGCTGCAAACTGGCTGCCAGACAGGATTCTTCAGACGCTTGATCCAGGGCCCTAAGACAGGGCACCCGATTCAGCTCTGTGTTCATGCCCAAATTCATTCATTCATTCAACAAAAATGTTTGGAATACCTACTACATGCTGGGAACCGGGCCAGACTCAAGGACCCAGCACAAGCAAAGCAGAAAGCCGGCACCCTGGAGGAGGGTTGACAACCAATCAGCCATCACAGAGAACCTGTGGGGACCTGCCCCTTGGGGGGCATCTCGCTGGAGGTGTCAAAGGAATGAGGGAGGGTGCCAGGTGGATGGCACAGCATACTCAGAGGACCTGAGGCAGGAGAGTACCTGGCAGGTCAGAGGACCAGTGAGAGGCCAGCGTGGCTGGACCAGGGTAAGCAAGGGGTCTCGGGCAGGAAGTGAGGCGGGTGGATGGCTGGATGGCAGATAGGGGACAGGCAGACAGGAGGTGAATGGTTATGCACCACATGAAGAAGGGTTACGTGGTCCAACAAGTGGAGTCCACAGATAAACAGTGGTGGTCAAGACATCTGTGGAGCTTGGGAGCCACTCAGACCCTCAGGCCCCAGCCCGGACCTGCCGAGTCAGAATCCGAGATTTAATGAGACACGGGGTGGCGTGTATTCCTGCTAACTGGGAGAAGCGCAGCCTAGACCGTGTTACAGGCCGTCTTCACTGCAGTCCCCCTCCAGTTGCTCGTTCTGGGGAGGACGTGAGGGGAGGACTTGGAGGATCACCGCTTCCCAGATGTGTCTGAACACATGGCCGTCTTTCCACCGAGCACCTCTCCGGGACTGGTGCCGTGACACCTCGGAGCTCACGCTCAGGTACCCCTGCCTCCAGCCACCGTGGCTTCCATTGCCCTGGACTGGGCCAGCACTTCTCGGCTTTGCTGGGCCTGCCCTGGCCACTGGCCACCTTCCAGGTGGTCTTGGGAAAAGACCATCACAGCCATTCCAGGTTTGGGCCCTGACCTCCCAGCTCTGGGCCTCAGTTTCTGCAACAGCAAGATGGGGCTCGTCCTATGTTTGTCAGGACAGTGCTGTGAGCTCGGTCCCTGCTGGGTAGCATCCATCATCTGGATGGTTAAAGATGCTCTCGGACAAGGAGGACCCTTCACCTCCGCCTCCACTGACTGCCACCCACAGCCCCATACGGGAGGCGATGAAGGTGCTACCCACGTTCAGAGCTAACAGGCAGGGGCACTGAGGCCTGGGCCCCCCACCACCACTGGGCTTGAGCCTTGACCCTCAAACTCCCAATCCCACAGCTTTGGCAGAGCACGCTAGCCAGCACCTCATTTCCTCCCTACACGCCAGGGGGCCCCCACTGCACCCCCACATGTGCGCCCCTCCCACCCTGCCGTTCACACCGCCCTGCTCATGCTCCCAAGGCAGCAACAAAGAGAAGCTGTTGGCAGCGTGGCCTCGGCCCATCTGGTGATCGTTTGCAATTCATTAGGACCCCCTCTGCCTCCACTCATCTTCTCCAACTTACTGCTGACTCTGCCACCTCCCACCTTTGGGGACACAGTGCGCAGGCCGATCCTGTCAGATCAAATATTTGCAGCAGATGTCCTGGCCCAGCATCAGCTGCCCCTGTTTATCTGGGAGCAGAGGCCCGCGCCCTCTGGCTGGTCCCCAGCCAGGCCCGCAGCCCCACCCACCCTGTGCCCTTGAGCCCAGGCCTTCCCACCGAGGGCATCTAGCAGGACGCTCCCTGGCCTGGCACCTCCCGACTGTGGGCCTCTACCTCGCTCCACCTCAGCTCAGAGACACACAACAGTGGGAAGCGCGAGGCCTGGAGGGCTCAAGGCCACAGAGCAGGCCACCTGCTCCTTCTGCCCAGGGCCTTGCGCCCTGACCCCATGGGGGCTGAGGGTGTTGTCATTCAGATCTGATTCAGAGGGGAAGCCAGGAGAATTCAAAAATACAAATAAAACAGGCCAGCTCCGTTTCAGAGCTTGTTTGCCAGGCGCTGAGTGGTGCCACCCTGGTCCTGGGATGCCGTGGTGCCTCTGTGGGTGCCCACAGCCAAGCTCTGTCTGCAGGACCACACGTGATGTAGAGCCCAGAGCCGTGAAGGAAGGCCAGCCAGGCTGACACAGGAGAGCACTGGGAGGAAGATGCCCGGAGGGTGGCCCGCTGCCCCCACAAGCCTCCAAGGACTCCCTGCAGCACTGGGGGCCTCGCATTCACAGGGGCCTGGACCGCTCCAGCACTGGTTCCCTCCACCACAGAAATGACAATGGTGATGACTTCTGCCTCACAGGGTGTAGAACTGATGGGGTTAACTCACAGACCACTTGCAGGATAAATCAGAGAGGTTAAGTAACTTGCCTGGGGCTGCACAGCCCTTGGCAGGCAGTGCCGAGGCTGCCGCGAACAACGGAACCACAGACACGCAGGGTCTGCGTCTACCAATCCTGCGGCCTGGAGTGGGCTGGACCTGTGGCGACCTCGTGCGTCAGAGAAGACCTGTGCTCCATGCTCCGCAGGATTTTCATTGGCTGATGCTTCCGCAGACTTCCAGGCCTTTCTTCCAATGTACTCTGGGTGAACTTGAACCTCGAACCTTTCGGACCGAGTGTGTTATATGGAAGACAGTCAAGTAACCAGCGTTGCTGTCGTCAGATGCTAGTTTCCACTGACTTGAGTTCTGTGAGGACAGTGACTGCGGACTTTTCTGTGGCACCAGACTCTTCCTTCAGGTGGCAGAGTTGAGGTTCAGGGGGGTTTGAGCAGACAGGCTTGTCTAGCATTGTAGTGGGGCTTCCCCTGGGTACCCTGGGCTCTGGAGAAAATGGGGCCGCTGCCTTGGAGTCTGCACAGCAAGCCCTCTGCAGCACCACCCCCTTTCTTCTGGGCTAAGGGTGAGCAGTAGCCCTGTCCCCCAGCCAAGGGCTGCTGCGTGTCTGGGCTACCTGGCTTGGGCTGCCCACCCCTGTGCTGCTGCTCCCCAGCCACCCCCATCGCAGAAGCAGGGAGATGCCTCCCCTGCAGCCTGGCTCCCAGGTGGCCCCAGCTGTCCAGGCATCCAGATGTTCCCCACTGCCCTGACAGCAGCCAGCCGGTGTCCCTTCCCGCCACGCCGGCCACGCAGCTCCCTCCCCTCCACAGCCCAGGGTGGCCACTGGGAGGGGGCGGGCAAAGGGGATGTTTGGCGTCTTCAAACCTCTCTGGACCGTGTTTCCCAGCTCATGCTCCTAACGTGTTCGACAGATGGCGGGCTGGCCTCTGTTCAGCTATCTGAGTGGAAAAACAGGCCTGGCAGCCAGAGCTGCTTGACAAAAATGCATCAGACTGCTTGCTCCAGGCCGGGTGGATGCACTAACGGGGGCTGGGCAGGCAGAGGCGTCTCCAAACGCCATGAGAAAGCTGGGGAGTTGTATTTATTTACGAATGCTTAGAACGGCTGGCTCTCCCAGGCGGCCTGCTGCTGGGCCTCGGTCCAGCGTCCTCGGCCCCCTGCGCCCCCTCCCCGTAGCAGGCTCTGGGAAGATGCTGAGAAAGTGGAACGAGGAGCCCAGTGGTGCCTGCCGGGAGGCTGCTGGTGCCAGGGTCCGGCCGGGTGGAAAGGCAGGAGGGTACGGTGGTTAGTGCGGGATGTTGGTAGCCAAGATCTGGGTTTGAGTCCTGATGTGTGTCCAAGGCATGTCCATCAACTCTTCTGTGCTGGGCACCCTTATCCGTAAGATGTGGGACCGAGTCCTAGTGCCCATTGCCAGATGGCTGTGAACACTGCATTAAGGCCATGTGTGTGGAGCAGGGCAGGCCCAGAGAAGGGCCACCGGACATTCAGACTACAAGCGCTGTTGGAGGCTCCAGCTAGAGGCTGGAGACCCACAGGAAGTGGGAGGTTACAGCAGGTCAGCACGTCAGTGTCTCCTGGCAATTAGCGTGGGCCAGACCTGGCCACTCCCCTCTCTGAGCCCTGACTGTCATCTCCATGCAGGAGTGCAGGCTGGGGACACTGGTTATTATCACCCTCACCTCCTCCAATGGTGACCTGAAGAGGTTTAAGTCCCCACTGCATCCCTCGGACGTCACTGTCCCCCCCAGTAGTCATTGCAGTCCCCTGGTTTGAGTCAAGGAAGACAGCCCAGAGAGCTCACACAGGGCCAAGGCACAGACTGGCCACGGGGGCCCTCCGTGTGCTCTCTCTGCGCCCATCCAGGCAGGGCTGTGTCCCCCTCCCCTGGGCTCTGGCAGGAGTCCAAGGCCCCCTCCCACCCCTGCAGGCCAATCTGCCCCTGCTGCAGCGAGAGCTCCTGCACTGTGCCCGTCTAGCCAAGCAGACGCCCGCCCAGTACCTGGCTCAGCATGAGCAGCTCCTGCTGGACGCCAACACCTCTTCCCCCGTCGACTCCTCAGAGCTCCTGCTGGAAGTCAATGAGAATGGCAAGAGGAGGACCCCTGACAGGTACCTGGAGCCCGGGTGCTTGCTTGCCTGGGCTGGGGAGGGCGGCAGCTTCCTGCCATGGCTGAGAGTATGGGTCCCACTCTGTTCCATTCTGTGGGAGGCCAGCTTACAAGGCTGCTGTGTAGGCTGCAGTGCCCCCAGACTGCCCCATTGCTGGGGTAGGGCCTCCTGGGGGTTTGGATGTCCCACTGGAAGCCCTTGGAGAACCAGGAGGGGGCAGAGGGCAGTCTGTTTGGTGAAGAGCTCCCTGCTTGTTCTCTTCATGACATATGTAGACTCCAAGGAGTCAGAGGTCCCTAGAGGGGCTTGTCCTACTCTGGTCCAAAGGGGTGGACGGTCTCTGTCGTAGGAGTTCCCTCAACCAGAGGATCAGGCCTCATGACCACTGTGTCCAGGAGCCCACACACTGGGGGTGGGGTGGAATAGGCTGGCCCCAGCCCCAGGAGGAGAGGTGCACGGGCCGAGGCCTGGGCCCCATCAGACTGGTCTAACGTCTTTCATTGCCCTGCCCCTCTCTGTGTCTGTCCCCTTATTCTCTCTTTTCTGCTGTTGGCTCCTCCTCTGGGCCCACATCTCTGTCTAACTCTCAACCCCACTACCTGGACTCCTGGGTCCACTGGCCCCTGCCTACTCCTTGGGCTAGGACCAAAGAGAATGGGTCAGACCGTGACCCACTGCACTCCGAGCACCTCAGCAAGCGGCCGTGCACCCTGAGCCCTGCCCAGCGCTACAGCCCTAGCAACGGGCTGAGCCACCAGCCCAATGGGCTGCCCCACCCCACGCCACCCCCACCCCAGCACTACCGCCTCGAGGATATGGCCGTGGCCCACCACTTCCGAGACTCCTACCGCCACTCTGAGGCCCGGGAGCCACGGGAGCGCCACCGGCAAGTTGGTGAGCAGTGTATGGTGGGAGGTGGGCACACCTGTGTGTGTGTTAGTGTGACCACAGACGAACTCGTGTGTGACCTGGTGTGTGTGTGCGTGACCTCTGTGTGTGTGTTAGTGTGACCAGGAGCAAGCCTTGTATGACCTGGGGGGAGGTGCATGACCTGTGTGTGTGTTAGCATGACCACGGGTGAGCGTGACCACAGGTGAGCCTGTATGTGACCTGGCGTGTGTGTGTCAGTGTGACCACGGGTGAGCCTGTGTGTGACCTGGCATGTATGTGTGTGACCTATATGTGTGTTAGTGTAACCACAGGTGAGCCTGTGTGCATGACCTGTGCATGTACACATGACGTGTGTGTGTGTGTGTGTGTGTGTGTGTGTGAGACCATGGACAAGCCTACGTTTGTGACCTGGGTGTGTATGTGTGTGACCTGGGTGTGTGCACATGACCTGTGCACCTCTCTCTCCTCCTGGGGCTGGGGCCAGCCTATCCCACCCCACCCCCAGTGTGTGGGCTCCTGGACACAGTATTAGCATGACCACAGGTGAGCCTTCATGTGTGAACGTGGCGTGTATGTACATAGGCTATGCGTGTGTGCATGTAAACACACCACCTGCATCCGGATCCTTGTCTGTCCAGGAAAGTCACTGAAGAAGTTAGGGATCAAAGGAACACTTGGAGGGTGCTGACCCCAAGCTAAGAAGAGAGGGCCAGATAGGAGTCCCCATGTTGACTGAGCTGTCCCCACATGGCTCCAAGGGAAGGCCATCTTTCCGGCCCAGTGTCTTGGGGGTCAGCCTGACCCTCACACCCCCACCACCCTACAGAGCCCAGGAGGCTGCAGAGGTGCCTGCTCTAGGACCCAGGGCCCCCCCTTCTCACCCTGGGCTGGACACTCGGAGGACCTAGAACACCCTGTGGAGACACTGGCTGCCTGTGGGCACAGACCCCTTGGCTTCCCACAGGCTCTGCACAGGGGTGCCCCTGCCCTTCACGGAGACAATAAATGGAGGCTGTCTGGCTCGGCACCTAGGGGTGCCAGGGGGTAGGTGACACCCAGTATCTCCCGCAGCCCCCCGCATAGGCATGGCCAAGACAGCACCTGCTTATTGAGGAGGGCAGGCTGCCGGGCACTGAGCAGCCAAGTCCTAGGAGACCAGCCCCTTCCTCCAAGGTCCCCCCCATGGGCACCCTGAAGGACAGCGAATTCACCCATTAAGACTCATGAGTGGCCACTGAGCGCCATGGAGTGCGGGCCCTGGTCCGGCTCTAGGTAACACAGTGGATGACAGACACACAAGTCCTAACGCCTGGCCGTCAGGGGCCGTGCCCAAGGGTGAGGACACGGCTGGGGCTGCAGGGGTGCCAGGCAGAGAGGGCAGGGGGTGGGGCTGCAGGGGTGAGGCACTCCGTTGGGGCTCTCCTTTTCGTCCACCGTTTCATCTCAGTGCATCCTCCGCGGATCCCACCACCTCTCTGTGCCTTGGTTTCCACCGCTGTCACTGGTTCTGAGAGTGGTTCCTGCCCCTCCAACCCTTAGAGCCTGTGAGGGCTGAGTTGGGCACCCCCAGAGCTTGGATTGGAGGTCCCGAGCCTTGGCAGCCCCCACACCACGCTGCACCCTGTACTCTTTCTCAAAGCAAGCCCAGACCCGGTGCTGATGGCACCGCATCTCACATATGGAGTCGGGCCCAGGGAGCTTCTCAAACGTGTCCAAGTCTCACAGCCACGTCGGCCTGACCCTGACCTCGCCTGACCCCCCTTCTCTGTGCTGGGAATAGGATGAGTAAGTCCCAGGACACCCCAACATCCAAGGGAGGCCAGCTGGAACAGCCAGCCCTGAGGCACAGGCTTGGGGTACCAATAGAAGCCCCAAGGCAGCATTGGCAGGAGCCTGTGACCCCGCCCCCACCCCAAGGAAGCTTCCAGGCCCTGGCCAGGCAGCAGGTGACAGTGTCTGGCCGCTGCAACCTCGGGTCAGGCAGGTGCTAAGCCCCGCCCGCTTCTGCTGATGTAAAAATAAAGACCAGCTGTCCGGCAGCCTGGCCTGTCTTGGTTGGGGCGTCAGCACAGACAGGGCTCCATGGGAGGCAGAGTGGGCTGGGCTTTAGCAGCATAGTTGGGGGTGACGTGTCAGGTCTGGGGGACCAGGAGGTCCTTGGGGTCTGCAGAAGACTGAAGAGAGCAGCCCTGCCCAAGTGCCCAGCTCAGATGCAGGCTCAGCACTGCCAGCACAGGTACCCAAAGCAGCAGGGACGACTGTTGGCTACTTCACAGAAACCCTGGAGCAGGCAAGGGCTGGGGAGTCGGGCGCCACCGGACTTGAACCACGTCTCAGTCAGACGTTTTGGTTCTGCTCCCCATGGGGTGGGAGCTCCCCAGTTGTTCTCCAGCTTGGGGGCCTGGCAGGCTTGGGTCAAGTTCCGTTTGCTCCCACCTCCATCACCTCCTGTCTGGCCACCTTGGGCCACAGCCACCCTCAGTGTCGTCACCCATGTAATGGGAGTAAGAGCAGGACCCCCTCAGAGACCCGATGCAAGGACTGGATAAAACAAAGTGGCGGCACAGATCCCCCCATCAGCTCGGCTGTTCAGCACGCATCCTTGTCTGTGTGTTAACTCATGTTCTTGCACCTCCAACGTGCTCCCCTGTGCTTGTGGCCCTGGGAGAGGGAGGCAGGGCAGGGAAACCAAGGCACAGACAGGCGAGGGGCCCTAGGGTACACGGGGATGGAGTGTCAGGCCCTTGGCTTTGCCTGAGCTCACTGTGTGTCTCTGAGCTGGCGGTATGACGTCTGAACTCACGTGCTCTCCATCCAACGGATAAGCCCTCACACGTCCTCTGGGCGCAGTGAGGCCCCCAGACAGAGAGGTGAAGGGACATGCCAGCCTGGCCCTAGGGAGCTGATGCAGCCCGGTGGGAGGCAAGCATAGAAAGACAGCAGCTAGTTACCCAACAACCAGAGACACAAGGAGCTGAGCAAATTCTGGACCTCTGAGGAGGAGGGCCCCTGTGGCCTGGGTTTTGAGGGATGTATAGAAGTCCACTGGCCAAGAGGAAGCCAGAAGGGTGGAGTGGAGCTGGGAGGCCCCGAAGGCTGTGGAGCGGTGGTGAGGCCTTGTCATGAGGTCATGCGGTGCAGGGAGGGCAGAAAGGGTGAGAAGGACTGGATGGGATGGCGCAGGAGGAGCGTGGTCTCTGCGCCGCTCCTCAGACTTTGAACAGAGGACAGGCCTGTGTGCCCCTCCTGGGGCAGTGCCCGGCCCCTCCTCGTCCTCTCCTCTTCCCCAAGGTGGGCACAGCCCACACACTGGTGAGGTGCAGGGCAGGCCGCCACCCTGGTCCTCAGCGTCCACTCTCCCTCTCCCAGTGGTGCCTGGGTCCCGGCAGGAAGAGGTCATCGACCACCGGCTCACAGACCGGGAGTGGGCTGAGGAGTGGAAACACCTTAACCACGTGAGTGAGCCGCAGGCCGGGACCCCGAGGTGGGGTGCAGCATGGCGCCGCGTTGGGGATGCTGGGGTGCAGCATGGCGCCGCGTTGCGGATGCTGGGGTGCAGCATGGCGCCACGTTGCGAATGCTGGAGCCGGAGCCACAAGGACCCCTCTCCTGAGTGCCTGCCTCTGCCCCACACCCGTCTGGTCAGCCTGTTGCTTCACCTGAGCCCCGAGCAAGGCACGAGTGGGGAGAGGGACAAGGACCCCACTTTCCCACATGCACGTTCCATGACACCCTCTGTCCACTGGCCCTTCCCAGGGGAACCCTGAGATATTTGGGGAGCACAGTCCTGCAGAGCTCGGCTTGTGGAGGCCTGGACACAGGGCGGGCAGGACCCCTCCCCAAGTGTGTCTGGGAGCAGTGCCCCTCAGAACCTGCCCTCCTGGCCCTACAGGGTGTCTCCCAGCAAGGGGCCCTGGGGAGCACTGGCGTGGGGCACCCCTCACCCCACTTCCTTCCTGGGAGGGCTGGGCAGAATGTAGCCCAGGGCATAGGAGCACAGCCTGCCCAGGGGATGACGGAGACGTCCCTGCCCCACAGAGCTGTTCATGCAGTTCGGTGCTCACTGAGCTCGGGGGTGTGGGGTAGGGCACCAGGGCACCTCTGCCCAGGCCCCACCCCACTGCGCCCCTCAGGTGGCTTGCGGGTGCTACCGGGGACTTCTCAGGGCAGCCTGAGTGGCTGGCCGCCCCTGTAGGTCCAGGCCTCGGACCCCCCGCAATAACAGGGCTGGAACTCCCGGAGGCCACCGCTGCCACACACTGGGCAGGGCGAGCAGCCAGGAGCCAGTGCCCACCTGGCTCCCTGCTACCCCTGCAGCTCCTGAACTGCATCATGGACATGGTGGAGAAGACGCGGCGCTCCCTGACCGTGCTCCGCCGGTGCCAGGAGGCCGACCGGGAAGAGCTGAACCGCTGGCTGTGGCGTTACAGCGACGCCGAGGACGTGAAGAAGGGACCCCCGCCCGCCACGCGTCCCCTCGGCAGCTCCGCAGAGGGGCCTCCTGCAGGTGGGTGCTGTCCCGAGACCCAGGGACGGGGACCTGGTCCTGTGCGAGCCAGGCCACCCCACGGTGGTGCCAGGCAACAGGACCCCCAACAGAGTCACTAGGAAAAGCAGCAGGTGCTGGGGATCCCACCCTGCCTCAGGGCATCCCCACGCAGGTCAGAGCACAGCCTGGAGACAAGGGGTTTCCGGTGGCTGATCTATCCACAGTACATTGCCTTTCGGTTAGCAGCCCTGGGAAAGGGGCTCTACCAAGATGCCACTCAGCCTCTAGGAAGCTGGTGCTCCAGGGAGTGGGGGTAAGGGGCTTAGACCTCCCGTATAAATGTAGAAGCCAAGAGGGGACCAGCCATCTGCACAGGGCTCCCCTCTGACTGGCCACAGACTCACCCCCACTCCTGGCAACTGACTCAGGGCATGTACCTCAGAACACCAAGGGAACGGCTCCCCGGGAAGAGCACGCTCACATTCTGCACCCCAAAGTGGGGCCAGGGTGAAAGGGCAGCAGGCTGGCACCTGCAGTGACAATGCCCCTCTGTTCCAGACGTCCCCCGGGAGTTCGTGCCCAGGACCTTGTCTGGCTACCTGCCCGAGGAGATCTGGAGGAGGGCCGGTGAGGGGCTGGCCCTGGGGGCTGGGGCTGGTCGGGGAGAGCTGCCCTGCACCATGCTGACACCCGGGTCCCCGCAGAGGAGGCGGTGAACGAGGTGAAGCGGCAGGCCATGTCAGAGCTGCAGAAGGCCGTGTCGGATGCCGAGCGCAAGGCTCACGAGCTCATCAGTACGGAGCGCGCCAAGATGGAGCGGGCACTGGCCGAGGCCAAGCGGCAGGCCTCTGAGGACGCACTGACCGTGGTCAACCAGCAGGAGGACTCCAGTGAGGTAGGCGGCCCCGTGCCCCCACGCCAGTCCAGTGCACCAACCCGGTGAGCTGCCTGCCCACAGCCCGGTGGGCACCCGGGTGCAGGGGCGGGGACAGGGACTGGCCAAGTGGCTAGCCTAGGAAGTACAGGGCCCCCGCTCCACCCCCAGCCGTAGTCACACCCGTGGAGGCCAGTGGTAAGAGGCTGCAGGCTGGGTCCTGACCTTCCCTCCGCCCCCCTTCGCATGCAGAGCTGTTGGAACTGCGGGCGCAAGGCGAGTGAGACCTGCAGCGGCTGCAACGCTGCACGCTACTGCGGCTCCTTCTGCCAGCACAAGGACTGGGAGAAGCACCACCACGTGTGCGGCCAGGGCCTGCAGGGCCCTGCGGCCATGGGCGCTGACCCCGGCCCTGGGCAGCCTGACGCCGCTGCGGGCCTGGGCCCCTCCCTGCCCGTGGGCTCAGCCAGCCCCAGCGAGGCTGGCTCTGCAGGGCCCTCCCGTGCCGGCTCCCCCGGCCCACCTGGCCCTCTGGACGCCGCGCCCCGCTGACCCTCTCGACCCTGATGCCCAGCCCATGGACACTGGGCCTGCTGGATGCCGTGCCCCGCCCGGCTGGCCCCAGCGGCCCGACTGCCAGAGTCACTGCTGCTGCTCCTCTCCAAAACAAATCAAAACCGACAGACCTGCAGCCGACGCGACCTCCGTAGCCACCTGAAGGCTCAGACCTCCCGACCACCTCTCCCTCCGCGAGCATCCTCGGACACCTCCATGGGGCTTGGGACAGCGGAGCTGACACCAGCCAGGGAGGTGCCTCCGTGACCGGCCTGTCCCCCTCCCTCCTCACGTTTTCACCTTCTCTATCGTTTTTCTGTTTTTATGAATTTCACACACCTTCTTTTTAATGAAATGAATCTAATTGTTTGGTGGCTTATATTTTCAACAACGAATTTTTTCTGGTTTTTATTTTTGTGGCAAAAAAGCTACTCAGAAATGGACAAAGAAAACCGTGGGTGGTTTTTTTGTTTTTTTTCTTCCCAATTAAAAAGGGAAAAAGGTGGCTGTTCTTTCCTAGCCAGAGCCTGAGCTGTTGTGTGACGAAACCGTCCAGGTATGTGCAGACACAGCAGGGATGGCGTGTGCTCACCACTGGGATGGCGTGCAGACATGGCCGGGACGGCGTGCACTTGCAGCTGGGATGGTGTGTGCTCACGGCCGGGATGGCGTGCGGACATGGCTGGGACGGCGTGCACTCGCAGCTGGGATGGTGTGTGCTCACGGCCGGGACGGCGTGCAGACATAGCTGGGACGGCATGCCCTCGCAGCCAGGACGGCATGTGGACATGGCCGAGACGGCGTGCACTCACAGCTGAGATGGTGTGTGCTCACAGTCAGGACGGCGTGCAGACATGGCTGGAACGGCGTACACTCACAGCCGGGATGGCGTGCAGACATGGCTGGGACAGCGTGCATTCACAGCTGGGATGGTGTGTGCTCACGGCCGGGACGGCATGCGGACGTGGCCGGGACGGCGTCACTCACAGTCTCAACATTCTGCGCTCACAGCCAGAATGGCATGCGCTCACGGAGGGTGTGCCTTCACGGCTGTGAAGGCGTGCGGACACAGGGTGTACGCTCACGGCCGCAACGGTGTGCGGACACAGATGTCAACTTCAGACTCAAGAAGCAGTTTGGGTTTTGGTTTATTTTTCTTTAATGTCAACTCTTTGGCTTTAAGTAAAAAGTCCAAAAAGATTTTTTTTGAAGAAAACAAAGGAAGCATCCCTGTTAAACTACCTTGCCAGCTAGCCAGCCAAGGAGACCGGACACACCTCTGCCCCAAAGGAAATCCAAAAACACACGCAAGAAATCAAATCCAAAACGGTCTGCTCACTGCCAAAGTATTTTTTCCACTGTTTTCTTCCACTCTTGAGTTTGTTTGGATGTCGGGCTCTCTTTTGTTTTTGTTTTGGGGGTGTGGGAACATTGCAGCTCGAGAGGCGTTGGCCCCACATGAAGCAACGTTTTATTTCTCCCCACTGAGCAGCCCCACACCTTTGCTGGGTGAAGGTGTGGGGAGCGGCAGAGGCCCGGCCCTGCCGTGCATCCAAGGGCCCAGTCTGTGAGCACGTGTGTCTGTGTGTGCATGTGCCGTGTGTGCACACGTGTCTGTGTGCACATACGTCCCGTGTGCATGTGTTTGTGCAGGTGTCAACATGTGCACGTGTATGTCCGTGTACACACATCTTGTGTGCACATGTCTGCACACATGTGTCATCTGCACGTGGCTATAAGTCTGTGTGTGTTGGGTCGATACCTCTGTCTGTCCTCACGCCCTCTATGACTTCTCATCCATTTCATTTTTCCACGTGTGAAAACAGAAGTGCTAAAGTGTTCTTTCAGAGCACACATTGTTCCCAGATGAAACTGTGACAATCTTTTGGGCTGATCCAGGACTTTTCCAAGCTCGGCTTTTCCAACCCTGGCTGACTCGGGACTTTTCAAAGCCTGCAGTGACCCGTCCGGGCCGTGCCTCCTCTACCTCTCCCTCGTCTGAGCCCCTGACCCCCACATCTTGACACAGCTACTCCCCTTTCTCCTAAACCTTTGCAGGAAAAACATACAAAAAACTGCAAAGAAAAGCAGCCTGCCCTCACCTCATGGGCAGAGGCTCTCGGATCAGCTGTATATAGAAGCCTCGTGTCCTGTCCAGCTGCCTCAGTCCTTCCTGCCTCCGGCCTGGGGTGCCAGGCTGATGTTTGCTCCCCATGGGCCCCTTCCCATGCCCCCCCGACTCCTTCAGTAATTTCCAGGAGGAAATACAGGAGTTAGACAGCTCCACTCACGCTCAGCGAAAACACGTACGCGGTGTCAGCCACCCAGCTGTTCTTGCCTCGCTGCCAAGCTCCAAGGACAGAGTGCAATTCGGAGAACGATGCCAGCTACTGAACTGCCCGGGCCCCACTACTCACGTGCACTCACGTGGAAGTAAAAACTCTCCGCAGGGTCCAAGTGACAGTAAAGAAGGTGTTTGCCAAATAAAGGAAACTCCAGAAACCGGAAGCCCGTGCCATGTGGGAGGCAGAGCTTCAGGGGGTTGGCACTGGCCTGGGGAGATGGTGGTGGAGTGTTGCTAACTTTGCAGTTGTAAACATCCATTCTTCGAGCATTAAAAGAAGGATTCCATCAAGCACCACAGACAAGGCCTGTCCCCAAACACGCCTGGCAGCTGGCAGCCCAACCCCAAAGGCCTCACAGGGAGACCTCACTCTCTGGAGTCTCCCACAGCTCACCGGGAATTGGGGAGCAGAGGTGCAGCTGTTGGTGTTCCCATGGGTGTGCTTTGACCCTATCACTGACTCAGTCTTGGATGTGTCCATGCACTGGACCTGCTCCTTTGGAGGTGCACTTGTTTGACTCCATCCTCACCCCCATTCTCCCACATGGCATCTCCACGTATCCCCCTGTGCCCTTGAGGATGGGGGACGGTTGGTCCTGTGGTTACAAAGGCACCTAATGACCAGCAGGGAGGGAGGCACCATGTTTGTGCAGAAAGTGGGGCCCTGTCTGCAGAGGACAGGGGCACAAGCCCACGGGATTGTGTGCAGCTCACAGGGTACACATTCTGAGGGGTGCATGGCCCATGGGGTCCACAATCTGTGGGGTCCACAATCTGACGGGTGCACAGTCCATGGGGTGTGTGGCTCAGAGGGTATGTGGCCCATGGTGTGCTCAGCCTGTGGGGTGCATGGTCGGAGGGTTGCAGTCTGAGAGGTGCAGAGTCTGTGGCGTGTGTGGCCCGTGGGGGGCACAGTCTGAGAGGTGTGTGGCCTGTGGGGTGTCTGTGAGCAGCCTGGGTGTCGCTGGAGGTCTGGTGAGGTGGCCTGGGGCTGACACAGGAGCAGCTTCCTCAGTGACTCAAATCCCTGCTGGTCAGGACTTTGGAGAGCTTGCCCCCTGGGGAGGTAACTGAGCTGAGCCTTAGGGGGCCCTTCACCTGCAGACAAACTCCAGCATGCAGACCTCTCTTCACTTCCTCTCACTGGGTCCCCTCTGGAGCAAGTGGGGGCGCAGGAGGGTAGCGTGTCTGGCTGAGGCTCTAAGGTCAGGAGCCCCTCCCTCCCCAGCCATTGGAAGATGATGTCCCTCAGCCAACTCAAAAATGCCCAATGCCCAAGCACCCTTGGCTGTGCCCAAAAAAACCTGCCCACTGGAGCTAGAGACCCAGTGTTAAGGATCTCTCCCACAGAAGGAGCCCTTGGCAGCCAAAAGCATCATAGAGTCGGGGCCAGCAGCCAGGTGGGGGGACCAGGCCCAGAGACAGCAGGACAGGCTTCCTGGGTTGTGTGTTGGGCAGTTCCGGGCAGGTGTTGGCAGAATCACGGGAACCCAGCAGCCCGCCCACCTGGGGGCTCATGGAGAGACTGGCATCTCCCAGGCTGGTTTGGGGCCTTTCCTGTTGCTATGCTTGGCCCTCAGGCCAAAGATCTCACAGCGAACCCTCAACAGCTCTGGGGAAGGGAAGTAATGGGCTTTTCTTTGCCTGGGGAGCTGTGGGGCTGGTGTGTGAGCTGTGTGAGGCTGGCCAGCAGCACCCCTGCAGTCTCCACCTGGAAGTGTCTGTCTGCCTCCTCCTGTGCAGAGGGGCCGCTAGATAGATGGAAGGGTCCAGCAGGACCTAGGCTAGGGTGAACGGCCGCCGCCTCTGGCCCTGAGCCTCTGTTCGGAGCACCATCCTGCCCCACCCCTCCATGAGCTCACCAGCCACTGACCTGGAGTCCACGGGGCCCCTCCCCGCACACCCACTGCCAAACCCGTGCTCACAGCTGAACCACACCCGCAATGGGGTACTTCTACTGGAAAAGCCTCCCTCCCCAGAAGTCCCCAAACAAACAGCAGCTTTAACTCTCGTTCTGAGGTCAAAGCTGTGACAGGGAGGCAAGTGGCTGCCAGGGCTCTCCCAGCCCAGAAGGCAGCCTTAGGTGGATGAGTGGACGGCAGGGTGAACACTGGTGGACATGACCCTTGGCCGTGACCCTTGGCCCTCCCTAACCTCTCATCTCCTCATGGCCCTCCCTCTCCTGACTTTAGGGTGGTCTTTCTCACGGGAGGTGTCCTGGCCCCAGACATGGGTCTGGGAGATTTTCTATCAGATCCTCTCATGGGGTCTAAGGAACCCGGCACCCACCCAAGGGATCCCTCCAGCCATTCCTATGATGAACATTAAGTCTGTGAGACTAAAGGGGTAGCCTTGGGTGGCCAAGCGCAAAGCTGGAGAAGGGATCTAGAGGCCCAGGAGGGAACGGGCCCTGAGGACATGGAAGGGAAAGGGTTCGATTACAAAAGGTGGCCGGAAGCCAGCGATTAATTGGTTTTGGTTTCATCCCAGCAATATGGTGGAAAGAGATCAGAACTGGCCCTAATTTCTTCTGCTGGCTGATTTTTCCAAATAGATACTCAAGCTGACACCAAAACCCTGTCTCTGGCATCCTCTCAGCTTCCCTGCCTCACCTCTACTCTAGCTGGCCATCATGTCTGTCCATAACTCTGTT